TTCTTCCAGTGCCCCGCAGGAAAGAAAGGCGCTGTGGTGATGCCAGCAGCCAGTGCGGCTTGGGCAGTGCTGGCAGGGACCGTGTGATCAGCAGCGACAGACACAGCCATTCCTCAACTGTGGAGCCTGGACAAAATCAGCCCTTAAATGTTGCAGGACTCTCTACTGTTTTAATTGGTAAAGCTTGAGAACAAATGAACCTACGAGCACTAATTCTCTCCTGAGTCAGGAAAAGGTGAAGACATGTAGAGAAAATAACATGGGACACTGTTGTTGACAGTAAAGAAGGAGTCAAATTCTAGATTGGAGGGGATTGAGGAGATGCCTAAGTCTTGGGCTGAAATTATTTTTGTAAGGCTATGGTGAAGGTATATTTGATATATCAAACTCTGTTTTTTCCCTGTAATTCATGGAATGCCTTGGGGAGATGTAGCATTCTAACTACAGCCATGAGCAGAACCATCAGTGTTGAAATAAGCAGATATTGCAGTAGCTGTGATCCAATGAAACAGCTACTGAATGAACAGAGAAATGAGAAACCTTGCCCTAGCAATAGAAGAAGAAAATATCTCTTCCCAGAGATGGATTAAAAGAACTTTTGTTTTTATGCTAGAACAGCTCATCCTTAAAAATAGCACCCCAATAAGCTGACATGGCCCATGAATGCAGCTGTGGGAAGGCTGCAGAAAAGATGGGAGGGACTTCACAATTGCAGTTTTCCAGGCAGCTGCTGTTCATGGAAATTAAAAGCCAGGAGAGAATTGTTTACTGTGGAGAAGTCTCCATGGCATTGCAAGAGAGACTCCCCTCCCTAAGAGAAATTAAGAAAAACTGTTTTAGAGGTGGCAAACTGACTGAAAGTCACAAGTTTTGTCTCTTCACTTTGTCAGTGGGAAAGAAAAGAGGGTGTGGAGGGAGGAAAAGTGTTCTGAAGTTATTCTGATTTTCTTACAATTTTTCTTTTAATTCTGTTAATAAAGTTTTCTTTATATTCTTTCAAATTTTGAGCCTGTTTTGCCCTCCTTCTCGTAATCCATCTCTCACAGCAGGAAATGAGTTAATAATTTCTAGTGGGTGCATGGGGATTTAGCCAGCATTAGACTCACTATAGAAAGTAAACAGAAACCAAATTTGAAAAAGTCAACAAGGGACCCAGCTTGTTTGCAGTACCTACTAAGGCTAATGGAGACACAGAGCACCTTACTAATGAAAGGATTGCCCATAGCTCTACAAGCAAAGCAAACTAAAAATCCAGTCTTTCCTGTGGAGACACTGTGGAGACACTGTAGCCTGTGTAGACTCTGCATGCTCTTCTAGTACATGTTCAATACTGAAGCATCTTATTCCCAAATAAATAACAAGAGGGATGTGGAAGAGGTTCTGTTGAAGGGCAAGAAGAAACTGAAATAGAAAACAACCCCATGCAGAAGAGCCTGTACTCATTCATTCTTCTGAATTTTAATTTGATTAATAATGTTTTCCTTAATTTTTCTTTTTCTTGCAGTTTTCATTGCCTTCTTGTTGTTGTTTTTTTTTCTTCAAGGAATAAGACATTTTTTATCTTCCTGATAGATTTACAAACCATCAGGTGTCCTGACACCCTGAAATAAGTTAATTAATAGGCTTCATTCCTTGCAGGGGATAAATTCAAGAAAGGGTGAGGCAATCACACAATCAAGTGCTGACCTGCAAGCAAAACACAAGAATTAATGCAAATCACACAGAGAAGCTCAAAGAGACATGTCCAGTGTTCCAAATCGCTTATGCCAAAAAATAGGTTTGAGAGATTGGTGCAACAGTTCTCACCTGAAATAAATATGACACCAGCTGCTCAGCTACTGTATGGTTGACATTTCTGCTCATGGTGAAGGCTGTAGCAGTTACTGTGCCAAATGGATGCATGGCACTTAGTTTTAGAGGTCACAAATTTTTCTGTTATCTCAAGTTTTTTGTAAGAAGTTGACAGGATTACAGCTCTTAGAAAACCCAGGACAGTTTACACCAAAGAAATTACACTGCAGAGCAACAGGCCTCCAAGACTGCACTTGTCTTGCTGAAAAGAATTTGGTTGCCTCCAGGACACAGCTTTTTTCCTTGTACAGCTGTGACCCAGTGAGGGACCCAGATGCATGAGATGTTGAGCAATGTTTTTATGGCCTTGTCTCTCACTGAAGCCACTCCAGGGTTAAACCTAAATGTTGTAAATAACACCTTGGTGGAAACAAAGCTGAGCCATGGAAGAGAAACATGCACAGGACTGTGCCCAAGAGGTTTGTACTGTGTTCAGAAGGGGGCTTGGAGAGGGGGAATAGAAAAAAGGCAAATCCCTCTCTGAGAAAAAAAGTGCAACTCTTCACAACCTTTCACATTATTTACAGGGTGTCCTTATTGTGCTCAGAGTATTCTGATGATGGTCTTCATTGTAAACTTCTCTAATGCACAGCTCTAAACCTGAGAGCGTCTCTCCAGTAACAGCACGCGTTGTTGGCCATTTGCTTTTGAAGGACTAAGTTTCCTTCTTTAAAAATTAACAATGTTAAAATCTTAATATTTGCTGTCATACCAATCCGCACTTCAATCAATTTCTCCCTGAAAGCAGGTCTTTCTTAAGGTCAGCTCTCTTTCTAAGGTGCCTGTTTGCAGCAGGCTTCACAAGCACAGCAGGTGATGGCAGGCCATTTGCAAAGCCAGGCTGGGGGAGGTTCAGGCTGCTGGAACCTGAGCTCTGCCCCACATGGGCTCGGACTTCGAGGAAGCTTCAGCCGGGCCAGGCTGGCTGGGCTCTGACACGGAACGTGCCTTGGCTCCGGAGGCCGAGAGGCACCATCCCCTCCGGGTGGGAAGGAAGATCGATGGGTGGTCAACAAGGGGAAAGCAGGAGATTCTTGGAAGCAGATGTGCTGTGGGAAGGATGCTGGTGCTGTGTGACAGGACGAGGCCGAGCTGCCATCGCACAGGCCCCGGTTCTGTCCTGCGGGAATGAAGGGTGAAGTGCCGGCCGAGCGCCGCCGCCCCGTGCCGCACTTCTCTGAGCGCTTCATTCCCTGTCATTCCCTGACATTCCCTGGGTGCTGCCCTGCGGCAGAGCGGCAGCGGAGGGCAGGCTTTCCCGGCCGGCTGCGCCACCGAGGCGGAGCTGGGAGTGCTGAGAGACAGCCGGGCTTTGGAAGAGGAGACAGCGGCAGAGAGGGAGCTCGGGCTCGTGGCAGCGTCTGTCTGTGACATGCCGGAGTACAGCGAGTGCTCCTGCACCCCGGCAGCACCTCCCGTGGGGAAGCGGACAGCGCAGGTGGAGCTGGGGGAAAAACGATGGGGTGTGATCAGCTGGGCCGTACCCGGAGCAAGCTGGCACAGCTGGTTGCCTGGGAGGAGAGGCTTGTCTTGACAGCACAAACCTGCAAGAAGTCATTTATCTACAGCTATATTCTGACAGCAAACATGCTAACGAATATAAAAGTAGCGAATTTATTACTTTTTCTTCCTGCATGATTTTCTTGAAAAATTGTGTAGTCCACACCCTTCCGTGGCATGTGGAACGAAGCAAACTTTGCCAACAATTGTGATTCATCCGCTCCTTTAATGGTTGCATTTTCATTTGAATATTAGATAATAGAACACACCCCCTCACACACACACACATAAAAAAAAAAAAGGACCTGTGGTGGATTTTTCCTCTTTCACAGAAATTTGAGTGTATATGTACAATCATGTCCAGGTGCTCAGTGCTGGACTCAGCACAGCAGAGCTCTTGATAGTGGTTCTTATAATTAGATCTGCCTAATCACCACCAGTAAAATGTCTTATTTTAGTAATACCTTATTTCATTGATTAATTTTTGTTTAATCATGTTGGAGGTTCTAGTCCAGAAATTTGTGTAAGTCAGAACATATTTTCAGAAGTTTTAACTAAAATGTTTAGTGCTTTATAAGGAAAAATGCTGTTTGCCCAATTGAAATAGTTCCTACAATGATTTGAGACAGCTCTGTGTATTTCACATTGAGGTGGGTATTTCAGACATCACATTAAAAAATTGCCCTTTTGCTGTCTAGTAAAGCTCACCTACTCAGCCTATAAACTTCAGAAGGATCTCCCTTGGTACAGTCTGGCAATCAGTTTCTGTTAAGGATGTACTGATGGAGGCACACGCTTAATCTCTGCACTTAATGTAATTGGTCTAAGCCATCTCCCCAGAGCACCTGTGCATACTGCACCCACAGCTGAAACAGCGAAATGAGATTTCTACAATTTAACCCTGTATTGTAAATTTGGCTGTGGTTCTGAGCAGAATGGAAAGTCCCTACATGTAATCATTCAGGAGCATAAGAGCTCTAAATGCCTTCTATGTTCAGGAGGAAAGAGAAAAGGGTGTAAAATCCAAAGGCAGACAGACAGAAGCACAAGTACAAATACAAGGGGATAATGAACTGTGACAGGAATGAGGGCAAAGGTGTCTGCTGACAAGAATGAAGAAATCAGGGCTTTACTACAGGTTTACCTCTAGCAATTAATTTCATTTCTCTTTAAGACTCTTTGTCCTTCTGCAAAAAGGGAGTAATGACATTGACCTGTTTTGTACAGCCCAGCACAAAGTGAACATTGAAAAAAATGTCCTGCTTTCCAGCCCTTACATAACTACAACTTTTATTTTTTAATGTCATATTGAAAACCTTGCATTCCCAGGTGTAAAACTAACACAGCCTGTAATAGAAAGATAAGATATTGCTTAAAAATCTACACACTAAAATCCTCCACATTCAAAGGTAACAAGACAGGTAGAACAATATGACATGTCACAGTCTAAAGAGGCCATATTATCTGTCTACAACCAAACCACCAGGAGGAATCATGCACCATTCTAAAATAACACTAAGCCACTTCCTAGCTGCCCCTTTCCCGTTTGGAAGGAAGACATGTCTAGGCATACCTATTTCCCACCCTCAGAACACATTCACCACATTTTTAGAATTCAGGCATTTAAAAAATTTCTCCTATGCTATGGTTTGGAGAGACATTTGTCTGATGCTACTGCCTACTAGTAGAAGTAGTTATTGTTAAAAATTTCTGGCTTTCAGATACAATATGCTGCAGAGACTTGAAAAACCCTTGCTGTGGAAAATGGATGGTGTGTGGTTGCAGATGAGCTCACAGGTGCAGGTTGTGGAAAATTTCAGTGTCACTCACTTCATCTGTGTCATAACCAGAACCCAAGACAGATCTTTAGGACAAAGATCCGCAAGTAATGATCCACAAAATACATATTTCTAAAAAATGTCACTGAGGACTATCAACCAAACAGACCTCTGTCTTTCCATGGGCATTCACAGCAGCACATGGGCCAATGATTCCATTAACCCAGCAACAGATTAGGGAAGTAATAAACATTAAGAGGCTAGCCAGGACATATATAGAGAAATAGCACGTGGTTCATTGATCATAAGGAGTGATCACAAGGAAGGAGTCCTTTCAGTGAGAGAAGTGAGCCTTTGCTCCATTTTTGTCATGTAAAGATAAAGTTTTCTGGTAGGATGTTTTTAGATCCAGGATGAAAGTTTCCAGGCAACTCACATGATTCAAACAGAAAATATAACCTTAAGAAATAGAATATAACAAAGAACTACAATTGAATTCAATAACTTATGATATATAAATTTAACTTCACATTTCCAGCTGCATTTTGATTAAAACTTAGGTACACACTGCATATTAAGTTAATTAATGTAGTGAAAATATATATTTTGAAACAAGTTGAACATTTTTTTCTGAAATAGCTTCCCACATGTTAGAAAATTACTGAACATATTATAAACCCTGCTGTTCTGTAGTGGTTGTCTACAAATGTATTTTCCATGTGAACATCAACAGCTTAGTTATGCTTCCTAAGTGACACTGACATTGGAATATTACAGTCATCCAAAGGTCTCCCTGTGTGAATCCAGGCATTTTTGTCTGACAGGGCCCATGAAACTGAGAAATAGAAAAGGTTTTGGTGTGCTTCAGTTAATGGATATTTGACTTTGTGCATTTCAGGAGCTGAGAAACTCAGAAACTTTTCTTTATTGTCTTATTTGCACTAAATCTGACTTCTTAGGTCTTCAGTCCCACATTCCAAACTGCTTTAAGTAATCCCACCCCAGATATCCCTGTGGAAAAAAAATCTTATTTTACTTCAATGCTTCTATTTTTCTTGCAGACAGGCTTGGAGATTCAACCAAACCAAACCAGGCTTGGAGTTCTGAGTCAGGCTTGAACTGTTGTGCTTTCTTGATAATACAGCTTCTCCCTATTTCTCCTGGTAAGAGGAACAAAATTAATAATTTTTATAACTGTAATAGAAAGCTACTAATTAGAATAACCTAGATATATTAATTCGTTCAGAGGGAAAAAAAGAAAAAAAAAGAAAAATATTATTATGTACCAAGGTTGCAAGTAATAGAAGTAATAGAGATTCAGCTATGCAGGCAGTCTCATGGTTGGTGTTAGCAATCCTGCATTTCCAGTATTATTAAATCAGCAGCTACCTAAAAATCATCCTTCAATGTGCTAGATCCATCCACCAAGATTAGATATTCATAGGAGAAGGCTATAATGGGATCAGAAGATAACAATATAAGATTTATTATACAGAATACTAAAATAGAAGCTAGAGAATGACAAAGATAAAGCTTGCAAAATGCTTTACATGGAGATCTCAATTCTGTTCAGACACAGGAAACAGCTCCATCAAGCAGCAGCCTAACATGCCTCAGCTTGATGGCATCATCATCCAGAGTCCTGCCATCACTGAAAATTCACCCACAGCAGTAAATGGAAATATCTACACTTTGCAAGTGTGAACAAAGCAGTTTTTTTCAAACACTGTCAAGCCAGGAAGGGCCAAAGAATCTACCCTTTGGAAATCAAATCCTGTGATATCCAATATTTTTGACAATTTCTCAAGTTATGAAAAGAAGTAACAAAAACAAAACCAAATATCCTGAAATAAAGATGGGTTTTGCATTAATCAAATGGAGTTCCAGGCTGTATATCCACAAGCCCAGCCCACAGGTTCAGATACAGTGAACTTCTGAACTTTGTGCCATTATATGTCTGTTAACATTTCTTCAGTACTATAGCATAAGATTAGCTGCACTAAGTGCCAAATATAACATGAGTCATATTGTGTAGGACTTCATCCTGGGGTGTCTCAGCTGAGCTGTGGTCATTCCCAGGAGGGGAACATTCTGTTCCAGGCTTTCATGCCTCCAGCACCATTTTCACTATAGTTGGCATCTTTCTTCTGACACGAGTTGCAGTGCCAGTAGTGTGAAGTGTTGCTGTGGGTGCTTTCTGATACATCTGCCTCCCTGGCCTTTCTCTGGAGCATCCAGCCTGCCAATCCATCCACAGCCTTGTCTTCTCTGTGCCTCTGCAGCTGGCACTGCCAGCAGCTCACAGCTCATCAGGCTTCTGTGAGCTGGCTTACACTGCACCACGCGTGGGACCAAGAACAACTGCACACACATTGTTTTTCTCTCTTGGTTTTTTGGGGTTTGATTTTTTGGGGGGTAGAGGGAGAGGAGGTTGGGTTTTGTTTCGGGGCTTTTTGTTTGTGTGTTTTTGTTTTTTTTTTTAGTTTTACTCAGTTCTTCATTGCAGGAACAAATAGACAGCTTTATTAGTAATGTGTTTGTCTTCTTTTATTGTAGTCCTGATTTCTTACAGCTCAGGGAATATATATAGGATACTTATTTGAAAATATTCTCACTGTTTTAAATAAGCTCTCTGAGAAGCCAGGGCAGTATAATAGGCTTGTCTGATTAAGCCCACTGCAATCTTTGGCATGCCTGGGACTACTGTCCTTTCATTTTCCAAGAGGATGAATCTCAGATGTGCTTTGAAATCTTCAGAGCAGGATACAGATGTTCAAGTGACAAAAGCCAGTGCTCAGTAATCCTAATGCACAAGGATACTTCTTCTGGCACTCAAGCTGTTATTCTGATCTGCTGGCCGTCTGCTTTCCATTAATCACTTCTGGCAGGAGAAAAGGCCTTCCAAAAATCTTTCACCTTTGGCCTATGCTCAGGCAGCAAAAAGGATGTAGCAGCACACAAGGTTTGTGCCAGACAGGATCCTCAGCCTGAGAGCACGATTCTGAGGTTTTTGCCATGAGATTCCCCACAGGTCTGTCCTGGAAGACTCAGCAATCTTGTCAGCCACACCCCATCTTAGGTTTCTTTATCTAAATAGGGTGGTAGTCCTCAGTTACCCTGCCTGTGTTTGTAGCAAGCTGACAAGTCAGTTCATGCCTAGCACAGATCTAGCAGGACAATATCCCAGGGAAGATGATTAGAAGATGGATAATACTGTACAAGCTTTTTCTTAAGACTTTTGTGATTGAGGGAAGAAAAGGAGGAAAGGGAATCAAGAAAATATGGATCTGAATCCAAGTAAACTTCAGCCTTTTCTTTTCTCCACTTGGGAACATTAATATACAAAAACTTTTAGATAAAAATACCTCCTCTTAGTGATCTAAAACAGAAAAAACCTTTCAAGGACACCACATATTATTAACCATTAAGATAAAATCTTTAAGAAAGTCAGCAGTCTTGATTAAAGAGCTCAAAATACTTTTATTTTACTCCTGATAAATGTCTTCAGAAACACTGAATGAATTTATGTATCTGTGTGTAACTCCACCCTCAGTTAAGCTCCCTCATTTCTTACAAAGGGAAGTAAGAAATCCTCCTTTATAAGCCAGCAACTTTCTTACCTTTCTGAGAACGAGTTCTCAGAGTTCTTCAGTGGTCAGACTGGCAGTGGAGATACCAGGGACCCACATCCCAATCACCTACTGCCCCAGGACCCAAATAGGTGTATACTCCCACATCTTGCACAGCTGCATCTGGTGACCAGTGCCTCTTAAGAGCTGAAACAAGAATAACAATGATAATGATATGTGCATTTAGCCTTATGTGGGGGATTTCTTCAGATTAACTCAAAGAGCAGAGACAGGTCCTTCTTTGTGCAGCTTCAGGTGTAAATTCTTCCTACATCTCACATGGCAGCATTGGATCAGCTGAAACTGAACTTGGAACATTTAGGCAAAATGTGAGTAAAGGTAAGCTCAGGCTATGGTGTTCCTCTGGATGACATGCTTACCACACCATGTGCTGGCAGGGAAGATCCTGTGGCTTCCCGTGGTGCTGCAGTGGTCTGGGCTATTCTGTCATTCATTGCCAGCTCTCCCATGCCATAGGAAAAGCAGAGCAGGGATTTGTATTTATGAATAGTATGTGGAACACCAAGGGCAAATCAACAGCCATCAGATGGTAAAGTCCACATCCCCCTGGAAAGCCAAAGTGAAATGACACAGGCTGTGAACCATCTGTGAACCACACCAGCCAGGGCAGGTGCATTTGCATGTGGTAGAGATAATGCCCAGGAAGGAGCCTGTCTGTGGATTTGGCTACTGGTGTAAGTGTCCTGTAGGAGACTGTTCCTGGAAGATAATAAAAGAATTCTGGCATATAAACCCCATTCCTGGTCAATGTGCACACATCAGTACAGCCCTGACTCAGTCATGCCTTCACACCAGCCTGTCTCTGCTGCCCAAATCCCAGTCCAGATCATAACACAGCATTTCTGCAGTGCTGGGACAGAGAGAGCACCTGAGTGCTATTCCATGTTCCAGCTTGCCAGAAGCAGACACCAGCCTTTAACAAAAGCTCTGGTTTTCCCTGCTGCCCAAATCCCACTCCAAATCATCAACACAGCATTTCTGCAGTGCTGGGACAGAGAGAGCACCTGAGTGCTATTCCATGTTCCAGCTTGCCAGAAGCAGACACCAGCCTTTAACAAAAGCTCTGGTTTTCAGTTGTGGTAACCCACAGCTTGGGGAAACAGCCCGATTAAGAGAAAACCAGAACCAAACAGAAGAGCACCTTTGGGCAGGAGAATTCTCCAGAGCAGCCAGAGGCCTTCAGCAAGGGCCACCTTCAGCAAAGCCTGCTGCAAACCTTTCTCCTTTTTCCTCTGCTCTCTCCTCATGATCATCTCATAGACCCTACAGGAGAGCAGATGCTTTTCTAGGCATTTCCAGCCTCCTGACTGGCAGCTTGCACCTGTCCCATGTAGGGCTTTTAACACTCCCTGGCATTAGCCAGGGGGCTATTTTTAATTGGGAGGACAGAAACAAGAAGTAGAGCCTTTGGCCAAATGTTGCAACCCTGTTACTCACAGATTGAATCACTTTTTGGCACCCTCATTAAAGCACTGGCTAACAAACTTTGCTGTCCTCTAGAGGAGCCCTGGTACTGAGCAGTGCCCCACGGCGCCCTGCAGTGCTGTTTGCTGGTGTGGGAGCAGAGAGCACACCTTCAGATCACTCACCAGGAAAGTGAGCTAAGGCAACACCTCCACAGCCTAGTCAGTGTCTCACTAAAGAGGGCACAGCTTGCTAAGATACACCGGGACTCACTGAGAAGCAAAATAAGGACTGCAAGAACCCAGGCCTAATCTGGGCACTGACTGGAGTTTGGCTGGAGCCTGAAGCAAAAGAACATTTGTGTTTTTACAGAAGATGAAACTTGTGCTTTATGTTGTTACTGCTGTCTTCTCTCTCCGTAACTTGGGCTCATTTGTAGGTCAAACTGCCACTTGGAGCAAACAGAACTCAGGTGTGCCTCTGAAAGGCCCTTCGGAGCCCAGCGCTGCCACAACCCTGCTCCTCCAGCACAGCAGGACAGGAAGGAAAGGAAGGACAGGAAGGAAAAGGACGCCCTTTTCCTTCTGCCGTAACATGAAATGCAGCTTGGTTCCTAGCTTGGAGCAGGGGAGGATGGGCACATCACTCATTGCATTTCTGGCAGAATCATGCACAAATGTTTTTATGAGGTGTCACAGGTTTCATGCTAAACAACAGTCACATCAGGTTATTGTTCTGTACAGATTCAGTATTACAAACTTCCCTGCAATCCTAAAAAAACCCACCCAGGAATCTTTTTTGAAGTGCCATTAGGATACAGAAGTCTTATCTGTTTAACTGCCAAAAATACCCCACAAACCCCTAACATCAGGAAATATTTTGAATCAAAAAACTCTGGAAGGGGTCTTTGTAATTGGACTTTTAACAAAGTTGCAAAATCCAGCAAAATTGGAGGTTAATGTTATCAGTCTCTTTCTGGAGCTTCCATTTGCACAACAGAGAGATTCCTTAGTGGACAGTCACCTCTTGAATTGTTGTACTCCACATGAGCTTCATTCTCCACTCTCCTTCACAGTATTTATGAATTGCTATTCCCTACATTGTCTGAAGACCCTTCTTCAGTGTTACTGTAAGCAAACTTGCTGCCTGCTGTTGTCTCCTCTTCTTTCCTTCTGCCCATTTCTTTTTAGGGCTATTAACCTCCAATTAGAGTACTTGAGAATCTATCAGTGATCAAGAGACACAGACTCAGTTTTGATGACTACATGTAGCAGAGTGAGGGGGGAAAGAAGTGAATTTTTAATATTTAAATTGAATCCTTATTTGGAAAGCACTGCCTCTTTCAAATCAATCTTGCATTCTGTGGCATTAGAACTTGAAAAGAACCTTTTGATAAACTAATGACACTATTAGAAAAAAACAGAACTGTTACCAAATTGGCTGTCAGTATTTTGTCCAAGTCAAATGATTTCTATGAGCAGTCCAGTGAGTACCTATCCTATCCTAGTATCAAACTTCAGTACAATTTTGACAGCAATATGAATTTAGTATTTGGGAACTGTTTCCATGTAATTTTACCAGAAATTTTACCAGTAATTTTATCAGAATCTGTCACAGATCAGTGACAAAAGAAAAAGCAAACCTCTTATAGGTAGCTGAAAACTTAAGACCACAGCTATAAACCTACAACACAACACCTACATCACCTACAACTGTTGGTTCTCCAGAAATTATTTGAAGTATATGCACTTATAGCAAATTCCCACAGCATGTGCCAATTATATTTTGTCAGCATTACTTACTTCCATACTGAAGCAAGACCTCATAACACCATCACACCTGTGCTCAGGAATACTGTCACAGTGCTAACAGAGACAATGAGCCATTATTTTTCATATCAAATCAATCACGCATTTGTCATGTTTCAAATATTTTATTTTAGTATTTTTAAATATGTTTAACACAACGAAGATATAAAACAATATATTAATTCAATCTGAGTTTAGAATCAAAACAATATTTACTTATTTACAGTATTCTACACTTCACTGGCATATCTTCTAGCCATTAGATAACACTATTTCTCAGTCAGGACAAAACTGAAGTAACAGTTCCATGTGAAAAGCCATGTTTCTACAACCTTATTATGTTAAGTACCATGTACAAGTTTGTGGTTTCTCAAATTTGACAAAATTTCTCCTGTTTTTACAAAACTGAACTGAAAGAGCAAAACTAAGTTACAGTCAGTCTTTCTAACTACACAGTCAGGGCCAATAGGTCAGGTTATTGTGCTCCACATTTATCACTTCAGTTCTTACACACTTATTACAAACTGGCTTTTAAAATGTGCATGTCACTGAATTATGTACATAATACTCACTGCAAATCTGTTAGGGCACAAGTGGTAAGTCTGCAGGATACTGCTGTATGGAAAGTTCAGTGTTCACAATACCATAGTGTTTGAGGAGTTGTGAGGGCTTTTTTGTGGTTTTCTTCATATAATGAATGAGACATCAGTAGGTTCACTCCAAAGAACTTTTTCTCCCCCAGGAATACTGTTTCAATTAGAATAGTGACAAGGTCAAATTCAGCTCAGAAATATTTTGTATTTTAGAATTTTATAAACCAGCGGTCTATCAATTAACCCTTATTGTTGAAGTCTAATGCACCAAATAATTCAAAGGGTAAGCTGTCTCACTGCTAGGACTTCTGTCAAATATACTTCTGCCTTGAAAAGACTATGGTGGTAGTTGAAGTTACAGGTCAGATTTCTAAAAAGATATCCATGGTTATTAACAAAAAAACAAAATGGTACTGTCTGTAGATTACTGCAAATTCTCCCTAACTCTTCAGTAGGAACTACATGGACATGATGAAAAACTATCACAGTTGTTTTGCATTTTTGTTACACTCCAGGTCCATAAAATCTACTGTTTGGGGTTTTTTTTCCATGACTGATGTTTGAAAACCAAATGGGCCTTCATACATCAGAACACTAACAGTAATGGACAAGTATAACACTAAGCATGCAGGCAATGGTTAAAAAGCAAGGAGGTGTTAATTGCTGCAGAAGACTTTTACTGGTGTCTGAGCCCAGCTTTTTCCTCTCTTTTTGGCACTACACAAGATACATCTGTATAGAAAAGATTATAGGAACCTGTGCTTTTATCCTCCTTAGAGGGTTTCAGTAATTCTAAATTATGTGATTTAACATGCTTGCATCAAAAATAACTTTTTTCCCCCAAATAATTTAACTGACCCTTGCTTCTTAAAGCAGGTAATTATCAAGGTTTTATTTAGTTTTTTGGGTTTTGACAGATTTCTTCTTTCAGAACCCAGTTAAGTAGAAATTTCTTTGAAATTCTACTGGAATGTTTTCTTCTGCAGTAGATAGGAGGGGAGAAAATCAAAAAGAAAGTGACATTACCTATTCCCATTACTGTAGCAGGATACACACAGTATGCACTAGGCCTTAGCCAAAAAAAATGTTTAAACTAAAATGGTAACACTCACTGAAGTCAAGAGTATTTAGTAATTTGCTTGAAGTTAAGCATACAAGTCAAGTAGTGCACTTAGGGGATCCAATTCTTGCTAGTCTTGGACATTTAAATACTTCAGGCCTATCTGCATTTCTGTACTGACACTTTGTGTTACCATGTTTGCCACATGGACATGAACTTGCATAAATGGAAATTTTCTATAGCATTGTTCAAGATCAGTTGGAGAACCTTGCTTAAAGATCCTTTCATAAGTTTTTGTCAGTGTAATCAGAATTTGTTAAAAACCACATCTATGAAGGTCTAATTCTGTGCAGGTGTAATGTCATAACACACTTTAGGGATCTTTCATAAATGAAAAACTAAAGGCAAAAAGTTTAGGAAAGCTATTATAAGAAATTGTGTCATAAGGTAGAAAAAAAAAAAAAACACAAGAAAAAGGATGGGGGAAGAGCCTGTGTGTCTATCACTTGCAGGTATGTGCATACATATCCCCAAACTTATTAGGAAGAGCTCAACCCTATTGCCAAGACTCAAATATTACTAAAAAATATTACTAAATCTGCTAAGCTAGCAAAAAAATGTGACCCTCCCCTTCTTTTGTATATATGGTTACTAATTTCAGACTTCGCTACTTGATTCATTTGTGCACTTTGTAGTACTAATGTTGTTGAGACACTTGCACTTGCTGGCATTACACAGTAATTAATTCATTATTCTGGGTTCAGATTATGTGAGTACCCACACAGACCACAGAAAACAACTCAGCACAAAAGAGGTGCAGCATGTTAAAGGATGGGTATGTGGTGGCATGTGAACATAAAGATATCCCTGAACATACTAAGCATTAAATTCAAGGCCCAAGGTGCTCTGCTGCCTTTACTTAAAAGTGCTTGTCAGCAACAGAAGCAGCAAAATGCTTTCAAAACACTGACTCCAAAGGAGGTACAAAATGTTAAGCCTATCAGTTACCTGCAACTTTTTTCCATCTAATTAACAATAAAGCTCACATTCCCAACTTTACAGACTAACCTGTGCTCTCTTGCAAGCAAGATCACATTTTTCTGTCTTCTATCAACTTCAATCTTTCCTCTTGCACGTTTACAGACAGACACAATGAACTTCCAAAATGGCAGAGGACAATTACCCTGATAATGCTTCAATCCACTCCCATGCTAACAAAACCAACCATTCTATATTATTTATCCTGGACTTAGGTATCTAGCATCAAGGGAAACAGCACAAAACAAAAAGCTTCTTTTAAAAAACAATGATAGACAAGGCTGATTTAAAACACAATTTACTTAACAGAATTTAAAAATTAAATTAGAACAAAGAATCCTTACG